CCCTCCCACTCCAGAAGCCTGTCATGATTTCCCCCACCCTGTCCCACCTGGCTCGAGCCCTTCCAGAGACAAACATGGCCAGTCACAGCACCTGCACCCTAACACACCTTGCTTTCCTGTTAAGTGACAAAACTCTCCTTAGAGGACAAGGTTAACGATGGCTTTACTTCTGAGCTGAGTGATGGATGGGGTGATGACGGGGGTGGTGGTGGGTGGGGGGTGGCTAGCTTTTCTCCTCCCCTTCTGAAAACGAAACAAAAGAAAGGAAAGGAAAAAAAAAAAAGGAAAAGAAAAAAGCTACAGTCTTATAGACTAACCTCAGGAATATCAAAAAAGGAGCCCAATATTTTTTTAAGTAGGTCGCCACAGACCTAGTCGTTTACAGTATAACGAATGCGATTATTTCCTTCATAAATTTTAAATACAAGCAGAATAAAAATCACATTTTTTTCAGGCAACAGTAGCAGTTCAGTAGGTAAGTGGCTTGATCACATTTTTTTTTGTTTTGTATTAGTAATGCATGCAAGCAGCTTTAGTATTACAGATCCCTTATAGGTCATGAAATGTTTGCTCTCTCTATAAAGTCCCTCCGTAAGTACCATCTTGTCTTCTCACGGGAGTCTCGGGCCGGCTGGAGGAGCCTGAACCTTGTTCAAAAGGTTGTGGAGTGCTTTGGGTTTCTGATGCCATGGCATCTGTGGCAGCTGCCTCCTGTATGACAGAGCCAGCCCCTTCGGCATCCTCGCTCTGTTCGAAGGACTGGTTGGATCCGTTGCTCAGCTCTACATTCACTGTGTTAGTTCTCAAGGCTACTATAGTTCCCGAATCACTTCTCCTTTCTGCATAGATTCGCTGCTCAAAGACCTGAGCAGTGTTGGGCTGGAATTCAGGATCCAGGGGGACACTGTTTGTGGTGGAGCCCATGACGGTGCGGTACATCTCCATCCCCTCTGGCAGCATGGATTTGATCTTGGGCAGCCAGCGCTTGCGGACGCGGCGGGCGTTGGTGCACATGTCGGCTGCTATCACATTCATCTCGCTTTCCTTAAAGCTCGGGGCAAAATTCTGACAATACACTGCAAAGACAGGGATACACATAGCTGAGGAGGCACAGGGAGCAATCCAAAGGTGGCAGAGAGGTGACTACAGCCTCTGCTGGGCCTCGGACCCGCGCGAGGTTCACCACGGAGCAGAGCTCTCCAAGGAGAGGTTACGGACAAGGCTGCTCAGCTGGAGATAAGACAAGCAAGAAGGGCTAAAACCAGAAGGCATAAACACCCCAGACGGCAGGGGAAGGAGGCTGGAGAAGGACTCCTCACTCCTCCAGGAGCCTGTGAGTCCCAGAGGTACCAAGGATTGATTTCCACTGGATATCAAGCCCATGGCAAACAGGCTTTCTGCACCCCTCAGGGTTTCCTATAGCTCCTCACTCCCCAGCACCTTCTGTCCCTCAGCACACTCTGTGTATCCATGGGTGACTGCAGGAGCCAAATAATCAACCAGCTGCTCCTGGTGTCTGCTGTAAGCAATTAAAGCACCTTGCTGGAAGGAACCAAACTCCTTTTCTCGGGACAGATGTGAGCAGGTAGCCCTCACATCCCAGCCCTGGCTAGAACTGGGTGCTGTGTGGTTATGCAAACAGAAGGATCTTACCTGCAGGACAGCAAAAGGGGTGAAAACCCCCCTGAACCTGTTGTTCCCCCAGCCCTGGGGCAGAGCTCAGTGGCTGGACAGACAGACACACTGACCCATTGAGCATGTGGCACAGTGCACATTGTGGTTGGCAGTTCAGATGTTCAAAACTAAAGCTCCTGTGCCTTTCAAAAAGGGAATTCTTTGCAGCAGAGCTCTGGTTTTATGTATACTTAACCAAAACAATAAGTTCACAGCACATGTTTAAGGAAACAGACTATAAAAGAGCAGCTGATGGAGAGCAGATCCCCCACCAAGCAGGGCTGAAGCAGCTGAGGGGTTCCCTGGTTCCTGGGGGCTCATTGATTGCTGAAGACCAACAGCTCTAAATGCTGCCAAAAATCACAATTTAAATATCCTTCCTAGAGCACCTATCAATAAATTAATTAATTGCAAAATGAGTGCTTTAAACTAGAGCAAAACAGCAAGTAGTAATAATGTTTCATATTAAGATACCGCCAAAACCCACCAAAAATTAACTTCAGCCCCTCAAAATCATAGAATAACAGGTTTGGGTTGGAAGGGACCTTGAAGTTCATCTCAAGTATCATAGGCCATGGGCAGGGACACATTCCACTAAACTAGGGTGCTCCAAACTCCATCCATCCTGGCCTGGAGCACTCCCAGGGACGGAGCAGCCACAGCTTCTCTGGGCAATCAAAAAATGATGCAAACTAAAAGATAAATCAGTTTTCCTATAACCTGATTTCCCCATTATTACACAAGAGAGATGGTTGTGCTGCTGCCCCTGCTCTGCCCTTGGCATGCTGTTCCACCCCAGCAGCACTACAGCTCTCTCCTTACATTTGACTGCATTAAGGACTCTGCTGTCCAAGGGTTTCCTGCTGGGATCGCTCGTGGACGACCGGATTCCAGTTCCGCAGCTGTTGGCAAGGGTGTTTCTGCAGGGAAGGCAAAGGAAAGTCCTTAAAGCAGGAAATCTGGGGGACAGCCACTGCCCTGTCCTCCTCCCTTTGGGGGCTGACACAGGGATCACCACGTTACATGATTTTAAGGAATCGGAAAAACTTGGTGCATGGAAATATGGAAAACTAGGTTGAATCATCACTAAGAAAAAGCAGAGAATTAAGTGCAGTGAATGCAGAGGAGGAAGAACTCATGACACATGGTTAAACCCCCAGGAAGTAGATGAAGGGAAGCCCCTGGGAGAGCACAAGGAGCACCAGGACATACCGATCAAAGAAGGTGGCCAGGAGACGTCTCAGGAGGACCTTGTGTTTGACACCAGCACATAAGTGGCAATTCATCAGCTGCCCCCGAGTGATGTAAACACCTGAGCCTGGAAGGGGTGGAGAGGGAGAATCCAGAATTAAACCCTTGTCACACTGACAGTGTCACCTCTAAGCCTCCAACAGCTCCTCCGGCCCTGGTTGGTCCCAGCACCAGTGGGAGTGTCTTCACGTGCTGCTCTGGAAGCCCAACAAGGACTGCAGGATTTGTGAAAAAAAAAAA